CCAGCATTATATGTGGGACTTCATAGGTCACAGTCTGAAGGGATCAAAACCGGTTCCTGCCACAGATCAAGTCACAGTGGGTCATGAATAGCATCCAGGTGCTCACCAAAAGGTGTCACCAGGGCAAATTGTCAGGATTACATAAGCAAGTCAGCCAAGATGTGTTCCACAAATAATGGCATCGTCATTCCACCATGGTTACCATACATTTTCACGGTGTAAAAGATTATGAACATTCAAAACATCATAAAGAGAGTCCAAATCTTTCTCTTTGAGAGACTCAAAGGAAATTTTACATAGGCATAATTCCTATGAATCAACAATCTGCCTTCATAGGATATGTTACCAGACGTGGGTGTTCCAGAAAAATATGAAGTGGAAAATTTTCTGGTGCCCTAGACAGAGTGTAATCTGATTCATGATATGTATTTCTGGCTTATATTTTGTAAACACACTTTTAAAAGTACTCCATTATAACTTAATGGCCCAATACTAACAATATAACAATAATATTTTATTAGGGGGAAATGACAGTGGTGTTTTTTTCCCCAAATGACTTCAAAGCTTTATGTAGAAATTGTTTTTCTGAAGTAATAGCAAGTATTTATGCATTTACTATATTTGTTTTGGCCCCCCGCAGGGGAATTTTATTTTTTTTGCATTTTCTATACACTACAATTATGGGATGGGGGAAGGGATACTAATACCTTAACACTAATACTATGGGTGATGGGTATAGGAAATCTAATACATAAATCTACTGGATAAGGGAATGGGTAAAGTACTACAGTTCTAATCTATTCCATCTACTGGATTTGGGAAATGGGTAAAGACTAATACATGTCACGATCTGATAAGTTATAGAAATATTGTTTTTAACCTAATATAACACGTTAAGATTTGATTCAATTATTAATACATATTTAGTAACTTAATGCAATTTCTGCCTTTAATACTATTGCCTTAGTTCTAGAGTCTTTTCTTCCTGCGTTTCTTCATTTTCTGGAGTTTCAGAGCGGCCGCTCCTTTCTCAGATTCAGATGATTCTGATGCCATGGAAGTTTGGCTTGTTGAATCCTGTGAGTAGGATTCATCTTCTTCTTCTTCTTCCTCCCCATCCAGTTTTAAGTTCTTTTCCTTCTGCTTCTTTTTTGTGTTAAACACTTGGTCCATAAATTTTTCCGCTTTTGGAACAGAGTCAATTTTATATATTTTTTTTCCTGGAAATTGAAGCTCAGCCCTTCTGGGAATAACCATCTATATGGTATTCCCTTTTTTTGCAGAATGAGAGTGAGCATCCTGTAGCGTTTCCTCTGTTTTCTAACTTCGAAAGGGATGTCTTTCAAAATTTTTACTTTTTCATTCTTGATTTTTAAGGGTTTTCCCATTGTTGACTTTAACACCAGTTCTCTGGCAGATCATTTCGTGAATTTCAGATAGATTTCCCCAGGTAATTTATTTTTCTTTATAAAATCCGGATAAGTCCTATAGGCCACATCCATCTCTTTTATTAAATCTTCTTGTTTGTAATCCATTAATGGGGCCAAGGCAGCTGCCAAGAGTTCTTTTAAGTCCTCATTTTTCTCTTCAGGATCCCATGAAAACGTAGCACATACATGGATCTATCCAGCTGAAGCTGTGTTATTTGCATTTTATCAGCGGATCTTTCCTTCTCTGCTTCATCCACTCTTTTATTAATACTCTCAGTCTGTTTTTCCATCCTTTTCAACGTTTTCTCAGTTGCTGAGGTTCTTTTATCCATTTGATTCAGCTGTTTTTTGACATTATCAAGCTTAGTGTTGAGATTAGTCATCTGCTCCATTAGGGGGTGCAGTAAATTCACTAGCAGTGTGAAAAATCTGTAATTACTTCCTGGTTTTGGGAAGGAGTCGTTGGTATGTTATTTTTATCCGGCACTCTCCGTCCTCTCCCAGCCATAATATCAACAAGAAGTAAGTTTTCCAAAACAAGGCAAAAGTTATACGATTTAGTCCCGCTTTGTATATTTTAGCAGTTTTTGCATTCGTTTAACTGCTTATGTGCTTATTTTAGCTCAAAGTCTTTTATTCCCGATTTAAAACCATTTTTAAAGTTTGCTCAAAGAAAAAAGGGGTGTGTGTTTGAATTCCTCTTCCCAACACTTCAAACCTAGGCGCTTCCAATTACTACCAAGGTCCAGTTCGCTTTTTTCACCTGAGCTTTGCTTAACTCACGATTTGGAGCCTTGGAGATCTTTTGGAAGCATTTTTAGAAGTTTGATCATGGTCGCTTGCTCCAGCAGTCGTCTCTGGGTACCGTGCTGGCTCCGCGGCAACGGTACCTTTAGGGGAGGAAGGTGAGCCTCAATTCCTTGGCTGTCACCTTGGAAGAGGCTCTCCTCAGCTCCCCAGGCTGGGTGTCTCCTACAAAGACCCCGGGGAGGTCTGGGACGAACTCGGACCCCTCCTGTCAGCCGGGTCTTGGCGCGTCTCCATCAGAGCGAGACGGGACGTGTCCGAGCAGCAAAACGCTTAGACCAGAAGTCCATTATTTTCTTCGTATTTACTACATTTTTATCCCTCCCTTCCCAGGAGCTTCTCCCTTTCTTCATTTTATCCTCACAATGACAACTGTATGAGGTAGATTACACTAAGAGAGAATGACTGGCCCAAGATCACTCAGTGAGTTTCCATGGCAAAGTGGGGATTTGAATCTGAGTCTGACACCCTAATTACTATGCTATGCTGGTGTACATTGTATACCACTATATATATATCATTCCAAGTATATATGGGGGGAAACCAAAGGCACTAAAAACAGTTGACATACCCAAGGAACTTGGAATGATATGCTGTGGACACTGTGAACTACTATCCATTTCAACAGAATTTCTCTTTCACAGAAGTTACATCATCTCTCTCCACAGCATCTCTTGTAGCATTAATTGCTCCCACAATTTCTAGAGATAATCGCCTGATACACATTAATTACCATTTTGAAATGACCAGTGTTACCTAATATTGCATTGGTAATCCCATCCATTTTTTAAAATTAATTTTATGAACCCCTGAATATTTATACATGAAAAAAAATTCCACCCTTCATCTCTGTATGGTATTTTCTAGACAGCTCTATCAGTGGGCTTTGGTGTCTTTCAGTTTAGGATGCTTCACAAGTGGTCATTCAGGAAAAACATATTTGAGCTAAAATTTAGCCTGTGAGGTTAATCTCCCTAGTTTGTTCCATTTATTGAACTCAAAATTGCAGCCTGATGTGGCCCATGTGCCAGTCATGGGTGTCCTCTCTTCCTTTGTGTCTACAACCCTCCTGTATTATTTTCTGCATTTTATGGCTTGGTTGGAATCTAATATTCTTGGTGGTGGGCAGAAACACCCAAAACTGGGAGATCCCCTGCTTGGAACTGGGGAATGGCAACCCTATCAAGTAGGCCATTCCATAAAGTGGGAGCTACAACAGAGAATGCTTTGATTGGGGCAGCTGCTGGTCTTACTCATTTCATCGTGAGACCATCAGAAGACTGCTCAGATGAACCAAGATGGGTAGCTGTGTTAGTCTGTCTGTGGCAGTAGAAAAGAGTAAGAGTCCAGTAGCACCTTAAAGACTAATAAAATTTGTGGTAGGGTATGAGTTTACAAGGGTTTACATAATTTGTGGTAGGATAAGAGCTTACATGAGTCACTGTTCACTTCTTCAGATGAATGTGACTTGTAAAAAAAGTTATATAGAGTTGGATGTTATCTGCAAACTGATCACACCCAATTCTAAAACCATTAATGATTTCTCCTAAGGACTTTACACAGAGATTAAAAATAGCATGGGAGATAAGACTGCCTTGTAGTAATTCACAGGACAAGTCCCACCCTGATGAAAACTGGTCTCCAACTGCACCCTTCTCAGTGCTATCAATAAATCCAAAACCCATCCCCTGTTGTGGGAACTTTTGCCTCTAAAGTCTCAGTAGTAATGTGGCATGGTCCACTGTATCTAAGACTGCAGATAATCCAATAAGAGCAAGGGCCACAGCCCTTGTTGACATACAAATGGAGATCATTAGCTAAAACCAGCAGCACCATGCCTGTCCAATAGCTTGGCCTGAAGGCAGACTGAAAGGGGCCTAGAGCAGATGAGTCATCCAGGAAAACGGAAGTTGTTCTGCAACCACTCTGTCAATCACCTTGCCTAGAAAGTAATAATTAGAGTCTAATTGGATAGATAAAGAACAGAGATCTTTTGGGCTGGAACATGCTTTTTAGAGCATGCTAGGATCTACTGGAGGAAAGCAAATATGGAGAAGGAGCTGTGTACAGGATCCAACACATAGTCTGTTTTTTCTCTGTCCTACATTGAGCCTCCTTCCTCTAAAATAGGCTTGATGGTGCTTTCATCAGGGCTCCCAGACAGATGATCCAGCTGCATAGTAAAATGGGGAGTGTGCTGCAGATCCACACTACTTGATCATGGGTTGTGTTTAGCGCTTACTCCACTTACACGCACTTTATTGGAAGCAACCCACGACAAATTCTTTCCATCTTAGCTATTTTGAACTTGAAAAGGAGTGAGCTCTCTTCTGTTTTGCATGCAGGTTTTTTATATAATGTCTTTTTTCCCCCAAAGTGCATTTGTTATTTTGCAAGGTTTTTAAGGAAAGAAGTGACCAGTCACCACAGTCTTCAGGCTGTTGGAGTTTCAGCCTCTGTTGTTTCCTGCCAGTCTGTTCCCTTCCAGAGAATGGACTGCATCCCTGTACAAAGATTTTGCTGTATGGTATACAATTCCCCGCTTTTCTGCAGATCTACAAATATTGAGGGGCCCTTCAGGAGAAAAAAACACACATTAAGTGCACATGTGGAAGTCCTCCCATAAACCTGAATGGACTCTACATATTACCACTACATTATGAAATTTTAAAATGTAACTAATGATAGAGATCTGATTATTGTGGAACTTTCAGTATTCTAATATACTATTCTCTCTCTCTCTCTCTCTCTCTCTTTTTACAGGATATATGTGAAGATATCTCTGATCATGTTGAGCAAATCCATGCTCTTCTAGAGACAGAGTTTTCCCTGAAGCTTCTGTCTTACTCAGTCAATGTGATTGTTGACATCCATACAGTACAGCTTCTTTGGCACCAGCTCCGAGTTTCTGTTCTGGTTCTGAGAGAGAGAATTCTGCAAGGATTGCAGGATGCCAATGGGAATTATACCCGGCAGACTGATATTCTGCAAGCCTTTTCAGAGGAAACAAAGGAGGTATGGCAGGTCAATGTAAGAGCTTACTTTTCACATTTGAATTTTTAGTCACATTCGCTCATTTGCATCCTTTTAATAGCATCCAGTTACTTTTGCTACTATTAATTAATTAAATAATTTTCTATGCTGTCTCTTCAGAGTCCTGCTTGAGGCAGGTTAAAACTACAGTATAAAACCACAGCATTGAAAACAAGAAACCATTAAACATAAGCAGCCTAAAACTGCCCATAAAACTGAGCAGACCATTGAAAAGTTGGTAAAATAAAACCCCTAATTATAAGCCTGGGTCAAAAGATGTATTTTATCCTGGTACCTTAAAAGAAGTAAAGTAGGTGTCAGGTGAGCCTTAAGGGGTAGGGCATTCCAAACGTGAGGTGCCATGATAGAAAATGCCCTCTTTATCACCACCTCACCTCTGAAGGTCGGGATACAGAGCAGGGCTTGAAGGGCAGATCTTCACTGGCAGACTGCATCGTATAAGAGGAGAATGTACTTCAGTTACTCTGGCCCCAAACCCAAGCCTTAAAGGTAAGAATCAGCATATTGAATTGTTTCTGGAAACAGATGGGTATCCAGTGTAGGTTTTTTAGCACTGAGGTGATACAATCCCTGTAACCAACCCCTGACAGTATCCTGACTGCTGGGTTTTGGACCACTTGAAATTTCCAAACCATTTTCAAAGGTAGCCCCAATTAGGGTGCTTTATAGTTATTTAACTGGGATGTAATCAGAGAATGGGTCACTATGGCCAGATTATGCTTTTTGAGGAACAGCCATAGCTGGTGAACCTAATTACTAATTAACAAGAAGGATACACAGTGTGGTAGATACAATTTTTTAAAAAAAGCTGTGAAAACAGAATATTTAGAATTAATGCATAAACAGTGTTTCATATAATGAACCCTTTGTGAAAAATACAAAATGTTTTTCAAAACTTTTTACAAGTATCTGTGATTAATCATCTATATATCTAATTCTCAAGTGTGCCCCCTGTGTGCGGATGCTTAAATCCGTGCACCGGGGGCACCTGGGGGGAGGGAGATGTTTGGGCGCACGTGGGGAGGTCCCCACGTCTGCACAAAAATCTGAAAACGTAAAAAAAAATCGGGGGGGTACTTAAATCCCCCCGAAACTGACAGAGCGTCCCCTGCGCATGCGCAGGGAATGCTCTGCTGGCACCCTGGCCGCCGCCTCACAGCCGCTTTGCGGGGGAGAGGGGGGAAGCACCGAGGCCCGGCGGCTACAAGCCGCACAGGCCTCGCTCTCCAGCCGCGGGCCGGGGGCCAGGGGGGAAGCGCCGAGGCCCAGCGGCTCCAAGCCGTGCAGGCCTCATTCTCCAGCCGGGGGCCAGGGGGCAAGGGGAAGCACCGAGGCCCGGCGGCTCCAAGCTGTGCGGGCCTCGCTCTCCAGACGGGGGACGGGGGGAAGCGCCGAGGCCTGGCGGCTCCAAGCCGTGCGGGCCTCGCTCTCCAGACGGGTGAGGAAGCGGGTGGGGAGAGATCGAGCGGGGGGGCCGATACGGAGGAACCGGCGGGATGGGGGGGAAACGTTACCTGCTCCTGACTCTTCCGCCGGCTAAATGCAGAGCTCCGCTGCCCCGCTCTGCCCCCCCCCCCGCGAGTTTCGCAGGTCGTCTGGCTTGTTTAATACTAATACATTCAATCTTACAAAAACCAAACGCAATGAATTATAAAGTCCACAATATTGTTGATGGCAATTATCCTTTAGATTGTAAATTTCAACTTTGATAGAATGTGCCTTCCATTTTAAACTTTAACTTTGGCTGATGAGTAGCCCAAAGTTGCTCCTTGTTTCAGCTTAGCTTTTATCAAAACCACAATTTCCTCATACGACAAATAACTTATTTGTAAGGTACAATGATACCAAATCCAATTCAATTATATTTCTTGAACATATTAGCCATTAGACCGTTTTCCTCAGGAATAGAGTCCTCCAATACTCTCCTCAGGCTGGATGTATAATTCATTGTGTTTGGTTTTTCTAAGACTGAATGTATTAGTACTAAATGTTTAATTGTGGATACTTGTAAAATGTTTTTAAAATAATTTTGTATTTTTCACAAAGGGTTCATTATATGAAATATATTGTTTATGCATTAATTCTAAATAGCTTGTTCTCATAGCTGGTGAACCAGCTGGAGCTGAGAAAAGGTGCTAATGCCATGGAGGAGATCACCCTCCAACTTTAGGCCAAGATCCAGTAGCACCCCCAAGCTACAAACCTGCTCCTCCAGGGGGAGTGCAACCCCCTTTTGGACAGGCAGACTCTGCAGTCCCCAAGCAGCTTCTCTGTTAACCAACAGCACCCCACTTATCTTTATTGAGCTTCAGTTTACTGGCCTTCATCCATCCCATTACCATCTCCAGGCGCATATTCAAGATTTCCACCTGGCTTAGCTGTTAAGGAGAAATAGAACTGAGTCTCATCTGCATATTGGTGGTACCTCACTTCATATGCCCAGATGTCCTCTCTTGTGTTATGCCAACTTCTCCAGGAAATTCCTGGAGACCCAATCCAAGTTATCTACCAAGGAAGTTTGGGTGTTTGTGGCTGTGCGTAAGTTCTATACCAGTCTATACAGAGGTCAGATGGCCAATGAGACGCTCGCTATATCCCAGGAAGTGAGACAACACGCTAGTCCTTAAATAAATGTTGTCTTTACTAAAGGTTTTTCATCAGGCATACAAAATCGGAATCATACAATTTCATACAAGCTCCTTAGTTACAATAGTACATCAGAACAATTACAGCATAGAAAATAACAAAAGCATCAAAATGGGGAAGACACAATGGGGCACGGCTATACTCATCTGAGGTCCAGCTGAGGAAGAACTCTCCTCCTTGGAACGCTGGGCAGCCGAAATGCAGCAGCTTGTGAACTCCAAGGCACACAGGTAGGACCAGCCAAACCACGTGTGAGCTCTCTGGGTCGCGACTCCGGAGAACTTAAGTAGTAGAGTCACTTGTAGCACCTTAGTGCACTGCTATGGGGAAGGTGGGTTAACCAGAGAGACAAAGGAGAGTTTCTCCTTAAATAAACTCTTTTTGGGGCATGTGCTATCCAGCCATAAACTATCAAACCCGTCCTCTAAACTATCACTACTGGATGAAGAGGGGGTGACGAGGGGATGACGAGGGGATGACGCTCTCCTGAGGGGTGGTGGCAATATGCAGATCCTACTCCTACATCAAAGGTGCCTTTTGGCAAGGTGTGAATCTTCCGTTCCCATGGACACCTCTTGATTTGCAGATCTGGTTCCTGCTCCAAAGCCATAAACGCTATTGTCTTTAGATCTCCAAACCAGATTAAGGGAGTAGGGTCACTTGCTCTTTCCATTCCAGGAATGCTGGGGTTCGCTGGGGATTTTCCACAGCTCTCCAAGTGGGTGCAATGGCGTGGTGTCTTCTCCATCCCAAAGAGTCATGGGATACATTCCAGGGACGCACATGGTCCATATGTGCAACGGCAGGCCCAGGCCAGCCTATTTCTAGGCAAGCATGAGATGCAGAACAAAGCAACACACAACATACAGCAATCCCTGAATACATATTGCATAGGTATTCATGCTAGAGACACACATAAGCAGCATCACCACTATACAGAAATACAAACATAAGCTCATATCGTTACACTTGTCAGTTTCATGTAGATGTTAAATATCATGGGGGATAAAACTGAACCCTGTATGATCCCATAGCATAAATCCCACAGGGCTGCAGTCCCCCAGTACTACCTTCTGAAATTAGTTGGTAAAGTAAGAGCAGAACTGCCAAACCACAGTGCCTTCTACAACCAGCTCAGCCAGCCTCTCCAGAGGAATATTGAAAGCTGCTGAGAGGTCCAGGAGAATTAAGGACATACCCTCCCTGTCACTCTCCTGGCACAGGTCAACACAAGCATGGCTATTTCCATCCCAAACCCAGGCTTTAATCCAGAATCAAATGGGCCTAGAGAATCCATCTTCTCCAAGACTGCTACCCACTCAAGCACCCGAAAAATGGCATAAACTACTGGGTGGTAGCTGTTTAGGTTTTTTGGGTTCAGGGATGCCTTCTCCAGGAGGGCTCTCACAACCACCTCTTTCAAGGTATTTATTACGTCCTTGATCCAGTCAACTGCAAGACTAGATGTGGTGGGCCACATACTTTGAAGTACATTGTCCACTTCATGCCTCTCCAACTGAAATTTATTTATTTATAGTTATTATTATACTTATTATTAGTTATTTATTTATAACTAAGAACAATAACATTCTGAGTTACAACTAAGAATGATAACATCCTGAGAATGAACTGGTCCAGCTGTGGTGTCTAAGCTGTGACAATTTTATCTGGAAAATGCATTGAAAAGGAATCACAGCTGGCGTATATGTTTTCTGGTTCAACATCCTTCAGGACTTGAGATAAAAACCCCTTTACAACTCAGAAAAGCTCCATTGTTTAGATACAGTCATGGCAGAAAAGGGAACTCACTTCGCTGCCATCACTACCACAGAGTAGGCGTGATAATATACTCTTCCTGGTGTTTGTTTCTTGTTTTTCTCCCCTTGTGCTCTAACCATCTGTCCAACAGTTTCATAATCTCAAGCTCCTCAGTAAACCAAGGGGTATTCCAGACTCCATGGAAGGAGAGAGGGTGCTCAGACAATCACGTCCACAGCCTGGGTCATCTCTGCACGAGGGCACAACAGGAGTGCCAACCCTGGAAAATCCTTAGGAGACATTAGGAATTGCTCTCGATCCATTAGCCACCTGGGGCAGACCATCCTAATTATCTTCCTACCATTTTGGAGTTTCTGAGTGTCTGTGAGTCTAAATCTTACCAGATAATGGTCGCTCCATGACAAGTGCAGAGTGGAAAATTCCCCCATTACCGAACCATGTACCCTATCCCCAGAGAAAACCAAATAATGTATATGATCTGCTGTATGCATAGGTACTAGAATGTTCTGGGATAGTTCCCATAGCTGCTGCTGTTA